GACAACGCCACAGAATGAAGCGATAACATATTGGAGCTGCTGACAATCAGTCTTTAACATGTGTTAACCATTTGACTGCAGGTGTAAATCAGCATTTCAATGTCAAGTTGCTAATTTAAGGCTGTATGGTCAAACATCCAAATAGCATACCCCAGGAAAAGCACAAGCGCATTGTTAAAGTAGGTCAAAGTCACCGCAAGTCAGGGAACACAGAGGAGAAGTTCCGCATCAATAAACCAGTGTTTGTGCTATCATATATATATTTCATGATACAGTAGTATTAAATTATACATTTAACAGGAGCTCAGACTACAGTGTAGGCACAGCCATCATTCTGTTGCCGCTCAGTTGACTCTGGTGGCGTACATGCTGCAAGCATACATGGCCGCAGAACCAAGCTCTGTGGCTCCACAGTGTGATGTGAATTAACATGGCTCTCCAAAGGATACGTCACATTTCCTCTGTTTTCGCTTAACCGTGCCACCTCATGGATGTGCGATAACTTTTCCCCCTTTAATTCTCATGTTCAGAGAAATAAGGAGAATATCTGCTGCCATTTGTTGTATTTAGAGTTCTCTGAAAACTAAGTATATATATTAATATTCAAAAGAAACCAAAAACAAAGTATTTTTTTTCATCCCCTCTCCTATTACTAGGAAAGTAGTTAACTTAAGACCCTGATTAACATTCCATTGAGCTGTGTCAAATGGTTCTTCCTCTTATTGTTATTATTTGGCTGTACAATGTTTTCTACCAGCTCACTCGTGGCAGCTGTTTCAGTACAACGGGGAAAAAAGAAAACGAATGGCATTTTAGTGGGTTATTTAATGGCAGCCTAGAACTGGTAAAATATAAAACTGCATTCAGAAATGTTGCATCTAAGGGAACTGGGGCCTTCCTAATGATAGCCCAGGTTTTGGGGTTTTTTTTTTGGTCTCAGTTTCACTGAGAAATTCAGAGCAACAGTAAAAGCTTCTGCTTATTTTCATGGACAACTACACATAAAAAATACGCACTAAACATTTTGTAACAAACTGAGCCTGCATGATTTCTCACATGTACACTGCAGGTAAGTACAAAGGTAACTGCCTGCAGAAAAAAAACCCATGTGCAAAGAGAGACGAGACCTCTGCAAATTCAGTCACTGACACTACTGCCACACTATTGCTCAAAGAGGAATCTCTTCTTCTGCAGGTGGCCTGGTGATGAGTCAAAGATGGAACCAGGTGTCAAGGCAGGATTAGCAGGGGTGGGTAGGCGTGGAAGACCCTCTTCTCACTGTCCAGGGCTGACACTGGCAAACAAGCAGTCTGCGTACTGCTGCGTGAGCTACAGCTCGCGGAGAGATCAGGAAAACAGTTGCATCACTTTCTGTATTCACTAGCTGGTGTTTGAATTTAAATTAGATTCCATTTTATTTAGGAAGCACACAGGGATGGTCTGAGAAAAAACAGAGACCATACCTTTAGGCCTCCTACCGCATTGCATCAGGTTGCCCTTGTCCCTTCTGCACAGAGGCATGCTTAATGCAGTGACGTACTTATTAGGTTGGAGCTGTTGAACCCAAAGCATACTGTACATGTCCTGGAGCACTGTGATGCTTAAGCAGATTTACTCGGGGGTTATGGAAAGTGCCTAGACATAGCTTGGCTGTGTCTCTTCTTTCTTAAGAGAGAAATCACTCTTTCTCATCCATTTTTCAGGTCTCAAGGGATGGAAAGCCAACCACAAGACAGAAGATGACAGCTTTGGCACATTGCCTTAAAGTCAAGATGGCGGTACAACGAGGAATGAGCATACACACTAACCTACCTGTGGTTTCTTCCAAGTTTATTCACACAAGGTGATGGTGAGAGTTTTTGCAGATGTAGGCACATTGGTTACACAGTTTTTGCTTCATTCTCTTCTTGCTTTAACTGCTGGGAAAATCAGCACTGGAATGGCAAGAGGCAAAGGAAAGAGGTGCTGGACAAACTATTGTACCAGCTGCCCTCATTTCTATTGATGCCAAGCAGCAACCCAGTGAGCTCCCAGTACCTTATGAGAGGAGTGGACTTTCCATTTTGTACTCCAGGTAAAACTATACGCACTGGTAAACTATTTTCACCACCACTGCACATGCGCTTAGTCACACTTGCTCCCCAAAGCTAACCTTATCACTGTAGGTGGATTGAGTGAGTAACCAGATGGGCCAGGGTTCGTGTTTGCCTGCACAGAAGTCAGACAATACAGGACTAGGGGAGAGAAGTAGCAGGTCACCATCCACAGCAAGAATCATGAAGGTGGTAACTCCTACTCTAATAGGAGTTCCTAAAGCCTCTTCAAACCATTCTTCTGTCATGACTGAATAGCTGCGTAAAACCTATTCAAAAACCATGGTCTAGATAAACTGGGCATTTGTTCTTCTTTATAAAAAGACTGACAAATCCTTTTATATAGTTACAGCTGTTTAAGGGAGAAAGTAAGTCTCTGACTCCACAAAGAAGAGAAGGGACTCAATCAAGCCCTACTGCTAACAAATATGACATACAAAGATCAATAGTGTTGTCATGAAATATGTAATGATACTTCTAACTATGTACTTAACACGCAGAGTGAGACATGCAGAAATCGTCTTAAATATTCACAGAAATACTGTGCAGCTGTTCTGATGCTTTTATTTCTGGAACGTCTCTACCATTCCTCTCGGTTGTCATCCATGATACAATGGTTTTGTCTGCACAGTGCCAAGCTCAGCAGGGAAATGACTTTGCAGGAGGAATCGTTATGGTCCGTGAAGCTAGTGAAAACCTACTTTCTCTGAATGGTTTTGGTTCATAGTTACCTTATAGGATTGAAGTTAACATGACAGAGTTAAACACTGCTCTCAAACACTTTTAAACAAGCTTGTGTTTATAGGAAGTACAATATTATTTGTTATTTCCATTTCATTATCATCTAAAGGCAATAACAGATCCGTCACGGAGGGCTTGAGTAACAGAGCAGTAACAGAAGCCACAAGAACACGCTGCCCAGATTTCACACACATGCCCAACACCACCGGGCGTTCACAGTTACAGTGTCAGCCCAGCTCCCCATACGAATGCCAGGCTCATGCACAAAATAGGTATGTTCAAAGATACAGATATATTTGACCAACTAGGTTGTCTCAGTACAGAGTAATTTAGTAAGATAATACACGAAAAATCCCAGTAACTCTTCAGCTGTGAATAAAACTACCATTGCCCAGGAGCCAGGGCATGACTCTCTCACACCATCACTATTTGAAAGACAGCACTGTGGGGCGACTGGAGCTCCCTTGATTTTTCCTCAGAAAATTTCCACTAGTAACTGATAATTGGTAGTGGGAAAACACGTGTGTAGCTGATGTCTGTGAGTGAGACTTCACAACCAGTTTAAGCCAGTTGAAGACCCTGATGCTGCCAAAGGGGTGTGGGAAACAGAAATGGCTCTTCTTACAGCACCACCTGCTTATGTTGGGTTAGGTATTATATCAAACCCTTTGTCTCATCTATAAAATATGGATAAAATGTACTATATCAGAGGGGGGCATGAGGCTTAATTTAAAAACTAGCAAGAGCTCTGGGTTACCTGGTATAGGAAATTAATTGCGAGGTTCTGTCAGTTGAAAACGCAGCCTGCAAATAACTGCCATACTGGCATAAATGGCAAATAAGAAGTGTGCTGGAAGGAAATACCCTACCTTCCTAACTAGTCCAAAGTGTTCTGCTGCAGTGATACAACCCATGTGCTGTTCAGTTCCCCAGAAAGTATATTCTCCCCAAACAAATCAGGGCTGCCACGATTTAAGCTCCTGGAAAAAAAGATTCTCTCTTCAGGACTCTCTAGCGCTACCACAGCCTGGAAAAATACAGGAGTGGAGAGATGAAACCGGCCAAAAGAGTATACACAAAAGAGTTTGACAAAAAGTTTTTTTCAAACATGGCAACTTTGCACAGTACAATAAAGTGAATCCCTCATCCCTTGCTATTACAACATCAGCCTTCGTGACAGAGGTTCTTGTGGGCAATTTCAGCAGAGGACAAGATTCAGAAGGACATGGAAATCAAATGTGTATCCCAGCACAGGCTGAGGAATACTGGCAGTGCAGTCCCTGCGGCCACTAAACCTGTTCTGTGGTTAAAAACAAAATCTCCAGTCTTCAACCAGTATCCATCCACCTATTTTAACAGCATGATAACAGATCCAATGTCAATATTCAGTACACGTCTGTACTCAGATTCTAGAACAGCACTAGCTTTATCAGACAAACACAAGAATGCAAAGGTGTAAGTATAGAGCCTTCTACTTCAATGGGGTGACTGAAAAGTGCTCCCTTCCTAGCAGAAAGAAATAAGCACACCAGAGGTTATGGGGTTCTCCTTGTGTTTGTCTTGTGCTGTGGTAGCTGCATGAATTAGATGCTGAAAGGGTCCAACATGAAGCAGAATCTGATTTAAATGAACTGTACACACAACCATGTGTGCTTTTTAAAAAAAGAAAAATAGTATTAAAATTTTAGTTTCATTTCTCCCTTTCCCACTTCCCTTTCTCAGTTGACAGTCAACAGCTGGTTAACTGCTCTGAACATGCACACTCATTCCCACGTTTAACCAGCGCTCCCAGCGGGGCACTGTGCAGCCATATGCTACACCACCACGTTCTAATATTGAACCACAGCACATTGCCACTTCCTTAAGCTTGTGGCTGCACTCTGAGTGACAGCACCTGCAGGAGCTCAGCAGAAGCAATTGCTTCACAGAGAAGCAAGATACAGTTGATAGCTTCTTTCCACAGAACGCAGCAGGAAAAGGGAGCTGTTGCCTCCACAGAGACAAAATGACTGTGATGGATGATGTCCTGCTGTTACGTGGCTCGTGTTGAGCATGTGACCATGCTTTACTCTGGTTTTACTCTGCCAATGAACTCTTCACATAGATCTTAAAAGGAAAGATAAATATCTGACAATACATGTCAGAATCTTAACACAAAGCAAACTTTCAGGAAGCCTTTTCCAAACATGTATGAAGTGTGTAGGTTTTTTCTTAACCAGACAACAAAAAAGTACCCCAGTTCAACAGCCTTCTTAGTGAAGCCAGATGGTAAAAAGATGATAAAGTGGAACAGAATACAGTAAGCTGACATCTTCTGCAGGGGACTCCCCCTCCCTAATTAAAAATTACCTCAATTATTTCCCGAATAGCATGACTTTTTAAAAAAAAACATGGACAATTTAAATAAAAGCCATAACTTGCTAAAAGGTTTAGAATATCCCTCAAAACATTTTTCCACCTTTGACCACCTCTAAAGCCTTCAGTAAAGTGAGAAATCTGCTCCAACTTTTATGCAAGTTAATACCACTGACTACTGAGCAAGAAAAAACCCCAGTCAAGCATTCACTTCAAAGCACTATTTAGTTAAAGATGAATTACTTGACCTTTTGGCAGTGTACAATGGAACAGAAGTCAGAGGCACCCACGTTCTTCCATTCTCTAAACAGTCAGCGCCATATCTATAAGAAATTACCTTTGTGTTAGAATAGAGCACACTTTTCAGAACAAAATGTTTAAGCTAATAAAGCTTCATGGAAGCCTCGAAGAGAGCAGATAAGTCTTCTTCTGTTTGGGGACGTGGTGATAGTTTAGTCACTCTCTCCTGCAAGATTAAAGAAAAACTGGATTACAGAATTTACAATAAAATTAATCAAACAGTAGCTGAACTATGCGCCTTTGTACTAACATCCTGCACAGAGAATAACAGGGTTTTGCAAATAAGTAATCAAGTAATTAAGGCTGAAGCATCATCAACTGTACAGTACTTTCAGGAATATATTAGTTAAAATTGCCCATAATTAAATACACAGAAGCAACATTAGAATGCAGTTCAGTTGCAAAGTCAAGTACTTCAAACATAGGTCTTGTCACTCACAGATGTCAGTACACTGGAGGATATCATCCTAGGAATACAGTCCATATTAAAATTCATTTGCCAGCATTGGAACTAGGAGTTCAGTTTTTAGGGACCAAGATTTTCAAAATACATCATCTCTGAAAGCCCAGGAACTGCTGTAGATGGGGAGAGTAAACAGTGCTTGCAACTCAGACTCCAAAAAAGACACAGCAAGGGACGATAGTGAAACGGCTTAATAAAAAGCCTGACACTTTACAAACCAGTTGTGGTTGGTCTTCATTTGGATGGTCATTCAACAGAATTTTCGGGTGCTGAAGTCCCACTGACTGAAATGAAACTCAGGTATATGCGTCGCTGCTCTGCTTGACAAAATAACCACAAAGGCAGGGATGGCAATTCAGAAAAGCCCCATGCTACTGAGGATGAGGAGTTGTATTAGTGTAGGTATTCAGTTACTGCAGAAACACTCAGCTGAAAGGGCCTAACATCATAACCAGTATGAGTACGCTAACTAGTACTTTTATGCTTTCAACAACCAATGATTTTAACATTTATTGAAAGATTGGGGAGAGTTAAACAGCTGCAAAGACAAAGGCCAGGCCTACACAAGGAATGTGTTATCTTTAGGTGAATGCGGTGTATTTTGGCAAGATGGGGTTTCTTCTGCTACAACCTGTTTCAACATCTCCCTCATGGAAGAGGCTGTCCCAGTAAAAGCTCTAAATTTGCCCCTGCCCTTTTTCACATGTGAGACAGTGGATGTCACTTACTAGGGCCTTGCATCATGCACCAGGTAGGATGCTGGGGAAGGGGCTCCTCCAGCCCCCTGCCTTGGGGTGAGGCGAGGCTCAGACGCCCTCCCGAGCGGAGCACACACCACCACCCAGGGCAATACTGCAGTGCAATGCTGCAGCCGCTCCACTTCCCTCTCAACCCACGGGGCTGCGATTTGTGGACAGGCTGGATGTGGTTACACAGCAAGAGGCCACCGCACTGTGAACTTAACATGTGAAATATTGGTCTAGGAAGTCAGCTGTGAGATATTCACAGTTCATAATCATGATCAGCATGGTTAGCATGGCTTGTGACGAGTCTGAAAAGTGCAGCTTTGTGTGCATAACTTTACCTACACGAGAAGCCTTGGTGGTGCAGCAGTAGCAATCAAATGATACCTCTTTCCCCATCCCCGACCAGCGCTGCTACAAACACAGATCCAGCCAAAGAAAAGGCTAAGATTCTTCCATGCAGTTTTGAAACAAAATGGAAAATTCAAACAGCACTAGGGCAAAAGTATGTTGTTTTTTTTCAGACTCACAATATGCAAAATATAACGACTCAGTGCTCAAGTACTCAGTAAATTCATCAGGCTTATATTAGGACACTCTGGGCCAAATTACAGTTTTGCAGCCCTGTGCACCAACATGGACAGAGTTATCTGTAAAGTCACACAGGGTGACAGGAGTCGATCACCCTGACAGACTGTAGCATTTCCCAGCTATATCGATAGAAGGCTGCAAACGGATGCTCCTCCTGTATGCCTCGACACAGAGGCACCAGCACTCCCTCTGCACAAGCCTGCTGACATTTGCTGGTGCCCAGACAGTAAGGCCCCGGCTCTCTCAGTCTGACTCAGCGCATTTTGGTCCAGTGCCAAAAATGAGCAGTTTCAGGCTCATCGGTGGTTCAGCCCCATTGTAGACGCCTCTTGGATGTCTGCAGGGGGTGGGTGGGCTAAAGAACAACCTTCCGCCATCTCTCATTTTCAGTCCTCCCCATCTCCCCTCAAACACCATTACAGGGCTGGCCACCTTAGACCTTGGGACAGCATCTTCTTTGCTAGACTCACTGCTGTCTGTAAATAGGATCAATTTCAATAGACTCAGTTAGAAAGGAAAATAAAATTCTGTTTTAACTTCAAGCATAAATGTTTGTCACCACAGAGTTCCCATCCTAAATCCTGGCAGTCAGAGTAAACTAGTTTTGTTTTCCTGCAGACTGCACTTCGCAGCGTGGAATACACTCTGCACACTTACTAGTGCTATCACCACTGCACCACACTGCCTTGCCGACATGAATGGGTCAGTGCTGTATTCCAGACACAGCCTACTGCAAGATGGAAAGAAAAAATATACTGAAGACTAAACTGTATGGACTACCTCTGTGGGCAATAATGGACTACTAAGAAACAACAATACATTTTCATCATGTTACATCTCATACACAAAACTGAGGTTTGAGAAAGTATTAGGTCATCTCATTTTACACAGTACAATTAATCATCAATGCCATGAGATGACAGTAAATGAATTAAAAGTCAATTTGAGCTAAGTTAACAAACAAACAAACAACTCCTTCAACATCTTTTGGTGAAGAACCTTCTGCCTCCCCCAGCTATGCAAAACATGCCTTCAATGAGATGTGGTTGTGATGATTCAAACCAAATTGTTTTAAAGGAAGATATTTATCAAAACAAACCTCCAAAATGCCCCGTAACAATTTACATGCATAGCCCATTTGATGGGTGCTCAGAGACCTTAGTTTTCTTCCTGGCTTTGCCACTGCTCTGTTGTGTGTGATCCTAAATAGTTGCACCTTTGTGTCATTTTCTCAGGTATAAAACAGGAATATTAATATTTACCCTCTGTTTTAAGTTGCTCTGGATTTATGAATGGGAAGAACTAGACATGGTAAGAAATAGTGCTGTAAAAAGTGAATAACCTTTCAGCCTACAAAATTTTCATTTTCTCCGTAGCGTTTACTTCCCTTGCTACTTGGTGGAAATAAATCCTAAGTAGACAGAACAGTCCATAGCACATGAATCAAACTGTCTTTTTACAAGGAAGACACTGGATTTTGCTTTTGGAGTGGTGTGTTGCTTTTTGCAGTGTCTTTGTGAGCACTGAAACAATAAAGGGTATCACAAGTTTAATCTATATCATCCCAGGGGATCTTATTTCAAATTCTGATGGGGGTCAATGGAACAAAAAAGCCATCTGGGAAGAAAAGTGCAACTTCTCAATATGGGAAAGTTTAATGCAAAGTGAGCTTGATCATTCTTACCAGATAGCACATGGTATTAAGGCTTTATCTATAACCCATCCCGCACACATAATTAACAGAGATAGTTATGAAAAAGCAGTATCTTCTACAAAGATCAAAGGTCTATGAAAAACATCCTCCTTTTAAAAAAATGTAACATTAAAAAAACCCAACCAAACACCTAGCCATTCTTTCTGAACCCATGTGAAGAACAGACTGCAGCATGCACTCCATCTCACTGAAAAGAAAAACCTAAACTGTGCAGAGAAACAAAATACCAGTTGACTATCCATAATTTTCTCCACTTTAATTGTTTTCATGTAAACCTAGAAATAACATTTGCTTGAAAAGAAACAATTCTGTTGTTTCAAAAATCTGTTCTATTTTATTTGACAAGAAAAACTGTTTTGCTTTGTCTTACCTGAGGCAGAGTGCCTTTGACTAATGCAGGGATGTCTGCTTTAGAATAACCAATTGCAGCCAAGCCATCATCAACATTCAGATCAAATAGGAATTTCCGGAGCGTGTCTGCCAAAATAAACCCTGCATCTTTGATTCTGGCAGTGCGGATGTCAGCTCCTAAAATAAGACATAATGCCTTGACTGTAGGGTGGAGAGAGCGGAGGAAGCCTGTTCTGGACTTAATTTAATCATAATATCAGCTGAATACATATCCATACACAACAGTCACTGCCCTAAAAGCAGCATGAAGCAAAAAGAGGAATCAGTCTTCACTTTACGGTTGGAATAGTTTGTAAAAGGTGAAATAAAACAAGATCAGGAGAAGTAGGTAACTGCTGCCAGAAAGACTAACTGCCACATGAGGTTAACTTCCTTTCCCTCTGTGCCTACAGGGAGAAACATTTTCAGTCTGACTAACTGCTGGGAAGACGGACGCTAACGCATGAACGTCAATGGTATTTATTTTTATGGACAGTGTGCCAAATGCTAACTTTATTTTAAGGCCTTGAGTTTGCTGACATCTAGAGGACATGGAAACCACCGACTATTCTGTTCAATTACACATTCAAAGACAGGACTAGAGCATACAGGCTGAGAAAGACAGGAGATGGCAGGGCAGTGTTGAAGGGGTTAAGTAAATCCTAAACTTAATGCTATTTGAGTATGTGCTGACTTGTGTAGGATAATGTAGAACTGAAGAGGAGGAACTGGTATCTTTGAAACATCTACTGAACAGTAACGATAGCATCAATATAAAATGAAAGATTACCAATATTTCTTACAGAATAGCTTGCTTCCCCTTCTTCAATGAATGCTCAGGACTTATTTAAAAGTAGTAATAAAAACATGTCCAGATAGAAGACACAGGTTCCTCCACATGATTTCTTTTCCACATAAGCTGAGCTAAATTTGTTCTCTGTGTAACATCAATGATGTTACACCAGAACTATGTTAGGTCCAAGCACCATACTGAGAGATGAGTAAGAGCACAACATAGCTACAGGAAAAATATTTTCTGTGATCCTCATGCAGTTCAGTGTAACATTCAAAGGGGGTTAAGTGAAGAGGAAACCAACCAGCTCATTTGAGGAGCTCAGATATTCGGGTAGTAAGACTGGCAGTACTGTAGTAGATAATGCCTGGGAGAAATTGATAAACAAGGTATGACAAGTCTTGTACAAAGTCTTATGCTATTGTGATTATGCCATGCAGTCCGAGTTTATCCTGGGTTTTGCTGTAGAAGAGTAACTGGGACATAAATCCAGTATCTTCAGATAGTAAAGTAAAAGGGAAAGGGAGGATGGGAAAAAAATGATGGTAAATGTGAAGGGCAGTTTTAAAATATTGCTGTAGTTCAAGTACTTTCTTTTTGCTCAACTTAAATCATACCTCAGTCTTTGATTGCACTTTGAAATTTTCTGGCCACATGCACACCTATTTCAACTGTTTAAGAATCCACCCAGGGAGGTATTAAGCTTTTTCAGGCTGTACCCAAATTCACAGTTGTACATACACACAAAATAACTATTTAGTAACCTGCTTCATGTCATAAAATACCTTCTTAGTCATTGCATTTGGCAACATGACAGATTTGAATCAGCTACTGTAGTCAGTTGGACTCTGGACTGGAATCAGAAGTAAACACCCCAGGTGGGAATTAACAAATTCAACTCCACGTGACATGTTTTCGGCAGAGTCCCTTTACAGCAAGGCAGACAATAACGTAGTTTAAATTTCTACTGAGAAAATTAACAGAGCTTTTAGAAACAGAATTTATGGTAGCAGTTCATACCACAAACCCTAAAGGAACTGCTTTTCAACCACTTGTTTTAAAATCAAGGAGCCAGAATTCAAATTCTCTGATATGCTGTGCTGGCCAGTTATCCAGAAACATTTCCTTAGTCTACTTTGAGTTGTGTGTTATTGCTGTAGGAACACAGACATTTTGTACCTTAGTATATGATTCCAGCCAGGTTTGTGTTCTGGTTTTGACCATAGGCAGGACTGCATACTTCAGAGGAAGGCTGAACAACCTCATAGACAACATTTATAAAATAAACAGAATTTTCCCCCAGTGTAGTTTTTCTGACCATGTTGTTTTACATTCTCTTCAAAATACTGTGATATTTTCACTGTCTATATAAAAGTCCCACTCTTTCTTGAAACCCACAATGCTTTCCGATTACTTATACAAGGAAGTCATACATGTGACTACATTGCTGTGACTTGCATACAGAAGGCTGACCATACAAGGGACTGAACACAAATTTTCCAAATACCAGAAAAGTTGCCCTAACCACTTTCTCTCTACTCTTTATACTGTTGTGCATGTGAATGTGATTGCTTATTAGCGAGCATAGGTATTAGCAGCAGTTTAGCCACAACACAAAGTCTACTGCAGACAAAAAACCTGACATTAGATATAAATAAATTAGCCCATCACAGAACCATGCTGTCACAGCTAGACTGCTAACAGCTCCAAGATTACATCACTGAAAGCTAGTTTATTACACTCAGCCATGCTGAGGGTGCAATGAAGAGGTATCCTTTCTCTAGGACGCCTTCTGGTGATGGGCTGCACAGATAACAAAGCACTGTATGAAAAGGTAACCTTTAAATGAGCTGTCAGCTTGCAGCATTTACTTTTATTCTGCTAAGAAGCAGAAAAGGCCACTTTGTTCATTAACCCACTTCTCAGCCATCACAGATGTGTCCACAGAATAGCTACTCCACACTTTCCCTTGACATCGTCCACTGAGAAATTCCAACACCTATAAATAAGCTTAGGCCTACATTAGAAAGACCAAAACCTACAGCTGTGTGCCACGGAAAAAAGAGCAGGAGTGATGCAGAACATCACTCTGTCCTAATTCATTGCCACAGCAGGGAACTTGTTAGGCAAAATGCTTCCTTTTAGCTAACAGATGCACCTGAGTACTTGTTTGGTTTATGGTATCTACTCTAAAGTAACTACTCTCCATAAAGCAACAAGAGAGGAGCCAATTACAGCTACTCCCTCCTGATTTGTAACAGATGTACAGTTAATTTCAGCTGTCCAGTTTTCTAGCCAAGAAGCAGATTTCTCCAGCTTGCTTCTCTAACTACATCATCTGGTATAAAAATTTAGCATTATTCTACCTAAGTTTGCATTATGTGTAACTCAGTCAGGCTCCAGAATCTTTTTTTTTTTTTAAACTTAACCCTCCCCCACAACAACCAACTACAATTGCTTGCACACATTTTTTTTCCCTCCCAAAAAGACATTTTGGAAACAATTCCATTTGTATGAGTAAGTTGTACCCATAGAGATTCCTACCTAGTATCTCTGCAGCTTCCAAGTGCCGCTCAGGATGTATCGGTGCTGTGAAAGCAAACACTGCTGGGGATGTCAGAACCACAGAAAGGCCATGTGGCTGGGGAAAAAAAAAAAAAAGAAAAAAAGAATAAAATCACATCAACAGGACATGTACTTCCAACTTCAATGTGCTTTAATGCTCATTAATGTGAGATAACGGAGAATTGAAATGTATAATACAAAAACAAAGATAAACCAAGTTTTACCACTAAAGAGTGATCCACATTATAATCCTTTGGTTTATAAGTTTTCACCAAACCAGAAATAGGGTAAGACATTCCATGGCTGGAACAGAGTAGAGAGAAAGTGGTTAGGGCAGCTCTCCTGGTATTTGGAAAATTTGTGTTCAGTCCCTTGTGCAGTCAGTCTTCTGAATGCAAGTCTCTTAGGTACAGATACTCCAAAGGTATTTAGGTATGGGTATGGTATGGATATTAGGTACAGACAACCCTCAACCCTCTGCACCTTAGGGATTTAGCTGTAAAAACCAGTACTTCCTTACTTTGTGAGTGTGAAGTTATATTACTCCACTGACTAGACTGAAAGATGCTCAGTTACTGAAGTAATACAGATATACCAAAAATAGCATAATCTGCATCCCTACCTAATCACACTGCCTGAGAAAAATAAACATTAATTTTAAAGCATAATGAAAGAGTGGATTTGCTCAAACAACAGGAATGAAAGGAAGTTCTCCAAAGAGAATGATGGCTAATAACTTATCCACACAAATCAGGCTTAGACTTTGCTTCTCTGAGATTTTCACCCATATGAAACTACATTGCCTTGCAATATTAATCACAGCTCATTTCAGCCTGCTGAATGCTTACCCCACAGACAAACTTACAGACAATTGCATCAGTTCAGGAATAGCACAAGATTACCTCATTGCTGTCTCACTGCAGAACAGCTGGCATGAAATCCAACATTTTAAATGCCATTGATGTTTTTTTTTTTTTCAAACTGTAGTTTTTACTATTAAAGAAGGTAAAGCAGGTCATGATTTGTATTTTTCACGTGATTGTATTTGAGTATCACAAGCCAGAATACACAATCCTCATACATATAAATGCCAAGACCCCATCAATTTCTCACAACACACGGCTCCCCCTGCATCACAGGCCAGGCTACAATGTCTTACTATATATTCAGCAACAAAGGCAGTGATGTCTTTGACAACCTGAAACAAACACTGGCTAGAAGCTGACCTCAGATGGGGTTAATATGTTCCTGTACTCACCAGAGATGGACACCAGCATTGCCAAAGCCAATACCAGCAAAAGCACTTGCTAGGTGCATGTTGGCTCTTGCTTCACAGTCTTCAGGGTTTCTGATGGCTCTGTGCACCATGGAGACAACAGTATCAGTGAATTCACAAGTGGATTGGTAATTCAGGATAGAAAAGGGAGAGAGGGCTTCTTTATGGACAGATATATAAAAACCTCTAAGATGAGCTGAGATAAAAATGCTGGAAATAGGATCAATTCGCACTTCAGTCAGAGAGCAACCCTGCTTCTGGATCAGTAAGTAGACCAAACTGGTTGAGTGAAGGGCAAGTTTCCTTTCACTTTTCTAAAACCTGAGTAAATAGAGTGAATTTGGCTATTTTCACCTCAGTGGTGGTTTAAACAATTCTACTTAGGAGCTTTGGCAATCCTATGTATGGCTCCAAGATCACTCCAGCTTTCTCACCATCTCATTAGTAAGTGGTGGTCTGGACCCCATCATCTGTGTGGGAAGAGGACAGGGTTCCTTGCCTTCCTATGCATGAGACTGCTTGTGTAGTTTGACAACATGGAGAAAAAGTCTCATGAATAGATTCCACAGGAACAATAAACAACTACTTTGACTGGCTAGGTACTGTAAAGAGTCTTTTACAAAAACCCCACATTGATCTTTAATAGAAGTGCACATGGTATACAAAAGCTATATACAGGCTAAAACTTTATTGGTAGGGATCAAAATGCACTCCCAGTTAAGTCAAAACTTAATCTAAATTGAAGGTCTTATAAGTATGAACTAGTTTTCAGTAAATGCATAATTTTGCACATTCATAAGTGCATGTGGTTACCTTCTTGATGGAAGTATCTTAATTTACACTCAAGGTCACAGAAATTACACCAGCAGTATTTTGTTCATTTTGTTACACATTTCCCTTATACTGTCACAGAAAGAGGATTCTTGAAAAAATATGTGAATGCTGCTCCCATATTAACTGAGCAGCTTGAAATACCTTTTACTGAGGACTTATTTTATAAGATTCACAGAGGCATTAAAAAGCTACCTCATCAAGACAACCTAGTAACCCTAATTTTACTTTCAATTTTATTTGAAAAAATTTTTGCTTTATTTAAGAGAAATCCAGGGTAGAAAATGAAGGTTTAATGTAGCAGTTTCCCTTATTTTAGCCTAAAATTCAAGTTCTTCTAAGCATCCCTTTTTGGGCACTGAAGACTGAACATACTGTGAGGGAGGTGGCTGTTAAACCTATTACCTTTTCAAATATTTAGCCACAATGCGCAGAGCATGAACAGCCCAGACATCACTGATGGGATTGCTGCCTTGGTAAGCTGGTCGGTTGATTGGATTTGAAGGGCAGGGACTGCGCATGTTGTAAGGAAGAGCAGTGTACGATTCTAGAGCATGGCTAAAAGAAAGATTTAAAAATGCATTATTTAAGTGGGAGAGCTCCATTTTACTGCCTTGCTGTCCCTTGAATGCAGGTTCTTCTTATTTACTTCCAGTGTTTAACAGTTGCCAAAAATAGAAACACAATCTCATACACAACTGGGAGAATGGTGGGCGGGCACCTCCAGAGCCCTTCACTTTCCAACAAACACATAGAAGGCAATCCAAACACATCCACAATCTACCAGCTCACACCATGCTTAAAGTTAGATTGGATGAACTGCCATCCTAGGGTGTAATGCTTTTCACTGAAGAGCACTGTACATCTGCAATGGGTGCACTTCCTTTCTGTATGACAGGAACAATAAGAGGCTTTAGCACTGGAAGCACTGTAAGCTACCTTTCTTTTACAAGTATTGACCTTTAAAAAATGAGGAGTATATTTACGCTAAGCAGAACTGCCAACAGTTGCATCTCCCAGATACTCGTGAATCTGACAACATAAAGAAAGGGGCACCACCTACATTGCAACATTTGGATGTACAAAACTACAGACAAACCATTTCCATTTATGAAAAAATGCCTCAATTCCATTACAGACATGGCAGTTCAGGACACTTCACCAAGCTTGAGAAATCACAGTTTCATTATACATCTATTACTTCAATATACACAGCACCCAAAAGCAAAGTAAGCTCTGGCCCTCGAAATAGAAACTTCCATGCGTTTTGTGCAGTTAAAAGCTGTGGGTTTAAGATGAAGAAAATTTTGTGCCAAGTGAAAAGCAAATTATGAGAGAGGTTCTAAGGATGGTCATAATTGGGCTGAGACCTGCCAGCATCCCACAAGCCTTCACAAATTTTTGTTGACACATCATGGCTTTTATTAGAAAATCCTTGTTCTCTATTCCCTGCCATGTCTGTGAGACATGCTAAATGCCGTCACAATTGTGATTAATCATCTATATGATCTCTTAAAAAGGGACACCGGGACTGTCTCCCCTGACAACAACCATCCTGGAAGTAAACGGTTTCTCCAGTGCACTGCAAAAACATTAAAATTTCTGCAAACAAGTGATTTGTTTCCATACATTCTCAGGGAGGTAGTGAAATTAAGTAAGAGGAAAGTATAACAGAGACCACCTTAACAACAGGAAAGGGAGAAAAAAGATCATCCGTTCCTGCTCCTAAAATACATTTTTTCTGCAATCATCATAGTAAAAACACAAAATTGTAATAAATTCAAGCAGCAACCTATACAGAAAACTCACCAAAGCACATCAAAGCCACTGTTGGCCACTATTCGCTCAGGCATAGACAGCGTGTGTAAAGGATCAATGATGCCTAATGTTGGCTTAATGGCTCTTGAAGCAATACCTGCAATATGTAAATGAGGAAAATGAGTTAAAGATTTTTTGCAACAAAATAGGACAAGACAAGCTTAATGTTCAAAACATAACAATAATGAGGGGAAATGATTCGAAACTATGAAGATAAAAGCAGAGAGAGAAGGAAGAGTAAGAAGTATCTATGAATGCAAGTCTTATTGATGACGAAGTCCCTGTAAGAGAGTTACATGATTTGAGACTTTTGCCTGAAGTGAATCATACCAGACAATGTTCTCTCTCCACTTGTAAGCCTCCCTGAGCAGCCTATACTTTCGAAATTTCTGTGCTGAATGGCATCTGCAATAGTATTCTTAGATTTGTACCTTTTGTGAACAATCGAAGGGCAAGACTGGTTTGTGTCTACAATCAATTGCTATTGCTAATTGCTGCTTCAGCATCTGTAATAACCATGCCTTCAAATTTTGGTTAAGGGGACACAGATGTAGCTTTGAGAGAGAGAGAGACATATAAACAGACAGACACAGACTGATTGACTACATATAGACTAGAAAACTCTTGAGCTATGGTCAGAACCCCTTAGCACACCCTTTGGGTCCCAAGTACTGTAGACTGTGTAGCATATCAAATCCACATATTTAGAAGTAAAACCTCAAAACAGCTACGAAGCTTAAGATGACATTTTAGCCTTAATCTTTATTTGCCAGGGATGAAAAGGCCAAAGGAAGACAGTGCCCCTCACTTGCACAGCATCTCAGGCCTGATGTTTCAAAAGTCAGGAAAAGGAACATTTGGTTGCAATTACACAACAAAGAAACAGAAGTCTTAAAAGCAGAAAGAAAAATCCAACGGAAATAAGGAACAGTTGGTTGACCCTGAATGTAAGTAGAAATTTCCTTTGCAATTAACATTTTCTGCCATTTAAGGACTTGAAAGATTTTAGTTTCCTGTTTTGTCTTCAAACTATAATCCACTGTATTACATAGGTATTTCATTATGTTAATATGCTATAAATTTAATTTAAGGAGGAAACCTTTAAGCTCTTCAAATTTGCCTGTGGCAGCTGAATCAAATGAAATGACACCTGAAATGACATGCAGTATCCCCTTCTTTCAAGTCAGGGAAATAATGAAGATATTGGAAAAGCAATTGTCTTGAATAGCAGACAAAAAAAAAAACCACCTCACCAGTTTTTACTTTTAGTTCTTTGAAGTCAAAAATGGCAACACCAGTGGTTTCACTTCCAGTTCCAGCTGTCGTAGGAACTTAAAAGGAAGAATGGGGATAACAACAAATAGTAAGTAATACATAATATTGCAAACTAAATAAATAAAAACATAGTAGTAATGCCACCAAAAATAGAAGATCCAGGAAATCTCAGAGGTATCCCTAATCCGGAGCCAACAGGTCAAAGAGAAACTGCCACTTTGATCTCTTTTCTCAGTAAAAGGAGTCAAACTCAGCTAAACAAGACTAACTAATGACAAAAACTGTGATTTTACTTCCACTGAAGTAAACAGCAAAATTGCTGCTGACTACAGCTAGAGGACAAGTAAGCCCACAGGAAAGTGAATGAGTTGTGGTAAACTGATTTCAGTAGAAATATCATACAGAGTGTAGACTGAGTCCCCTTCTCCTAGCTCTCACTCTCCACCCCCTCCTGCTTTACCTGCAATAAGTGGCTTGAGGGGCACAGTGACAGGCTTCCCTTTCCCAATAGGAGCATTGACGTAATCCAGGAAGTCTGATGTAGGGCTGGACGCATACAGGTTGGCAGCTTTACAAGTGTCTATTACAGACCCACCTCCAACAGCAACATAGGCATCAAACTCTCCCTTTTTAGCAAATTTAATGGCATCCAGGAAACTTGGAAAACAAGAAAAGCTTTCCAATTAGGAGAAAAGCAGCACATAGAGAAAATAACTATTAAGACCAGTGTACAGGTCACAAGGACGTGTTTAAACAGCTGTATGGCATGCTGCAAGAGCCTAGGCACTAGTCGGAGAAGCGCACTGTCAGAAGTAGTACCTTTGGTCTGTTGGTTCCACCCGGACGTTATCATACATCTGAAAGTTTATACTATATTTTGCCAGGGAATTCAATACTGCATTTACAGGAGGGAGTTGGGAGAGGTTTTTATCTGTCATCAAACAAACTCTTCTAGCACCAAGATTCTGCAGGTCCTACGATAACAATGAAGTTAAAAAACAAACAACTGGTATAAAATCACACACTGAACTATTTAAAAACTAATCCAAATCAACTGATTTATTATTATTATTATTTATATTATTATAAATATTTATTTAATAATAATAAAAAACCCAACCTCAAAATAGTTGGTTACTGTAAAATCTTTGAAACAGTATCAGCTAAAGAAAAAGAGGATTAACCACATACATAGTAGGATGCAGAAAACAGAATAAAGCTGCCAAACATATAGTTGAAGTCTTATGATAGAAGACAACTAATGATAAAGATGTTGAACAAGTGAAAACCATGTGTAACCACTTAAGACTTCAGTAAAATGTAAAGTATTTTTTTGAAATATCTTTTTCTTACACAATTCCTGTGACATAAAAAGGCTTTTCCAAAGGTTAGGTCTCCCCTAACTGACTACCTAAGCATGGCATTAAAATCTTGAAAATTTAATACAGAATATCAATTTACTGATGAAAAATCAAAATAAGGTGGCAGAAAGAAGAAAAATAATACTACTTCCTAACCTTTGCTAAATTAATTGTCACAATAGCTATACAATCAATACATGCAATTCTAAATAATCCTAATGCTGTTTAAAGACAGAAGTTCTGCCTAACTTCATTTACTATCTGACTATTAATTTACTTTACAAATTTGCAAATGAAAGAGAGAACTGTTAATGCCATAAATGCCAAGAAGAGAGGAAAAAATGATAAATGAAAAAATGCAATGATAAAGGCAAACTGGAGCAATGTACTCAGGTGAATCATCTCACACTGCTGAAACAAAAATTCTACATTTTCACAGTGCAAACTCAGAGCTGAATGACTATCCACCTAATTTAATGGAAAGTCTCTGATTCATTTTAATGAGCACTAGAAGAGATGAAAGTGATCTTGAGAAAATCCTGGTGAGTCACCACGATTCAAAACTTTTTGAATTAAATCCCCTGTCAGAGAAAAATATTGTTGCATAATCCTGGCAAATCATCAACAATCTAATGACCCACTAAGCTGCATTTCCTGTACTCACTTATACCACAGCAACATTGATGTAACATGCTTCTGTTCTTTACCCAGCAGTATTTTCCGCCTTTTTACACTGGTATATATGGCTACACACACTGCAAAGCAATGGAGATTCAGATGCACCGTGTATAAGCTTTTCCTTATAAAACGGATTGATAGCACCAGCAGCCCTTTAGAAAATAACTTTTCACCAGTGATGGACTTACACTACGGAGGCTTACCATGCCAATCTCTTTAGTAACTCCTTCTCCATATCGGATGTTCGAAATAGCCATCTACAGAAAAAAGAACGTATTTTTTCTGGAAAAATGGAGAAATGGCATCTAGTTCCAAGCAAAGTGAAATATAGATATTTACTAATGTAAATATTTGTTAAATGACATATTTGGAAGTATACAAAATACTACTTTTAAATCAGATGTATTTTATTATTAAATCTACCTCAAATGCATAGTCTGTATTTCCCAGGGTAGGCCGTTCAGGGACTGGAATGGAAATGAAACAGTAAAATTAGGGATCAAAAAGTGACTTATATCTGTATCTCAATACTAGAGTTGACAGATTACTTTGCTTTTAAAATCACTAATACTTTGCACAGGTCATCTTGGCTTGTCTGTGTATAGGTTACCCATTTCATCCCTTGTTGTTTGTGAGATTAAGTGATCCAAGTACTTGATTTGATTTACACAATTCAGCAAAACAAGTGTGTTTTCTCCTTCTTTCAAGGATAAATCCTTCTTATAAAAACTAAGTTAGCAGGAAGTTTGCATGAGAATTTGTTTGCAGTCTGCCAAGACCAGAACAGCACATGATAAGTCAAATGGAGTATCTGCAGAGCATACAGGCTGCTACATACAGGTTGAGAGGTGTTACAAATGTGTAGGGGCTACATGATAACCTTCAGAACAACTTTTAAGACAAATTCATGAGACATCCTCCATATGCGTCCGGATAGAGAGCATCTTTTGTACGTGTGAGAGTTATACTAACAGGTGTTTACACTTCTTCTTACTTCTGCCTAGTCCTAAACTTGCAGGTGAAACTGAATTGCTTGCTTGAAAATTAAGAAACTGCATGCATTGCTAATAATAAACAGAATTTTAATAAGAATCAGTGTGTCACTATCAACTTTATTTAGTAGAAGACAGAAGATATTAATAAATATAGTATTTCAGTCACATCCTCTCTCTGCCATGTCATTCTTGCATGAATTTCTACAGAACTCTCTATTTCTTGCATATCCTGATTTTGCCACACAGTGAGGCAAACTGCATCAACTGAAACTGCCCATTCTTCTCCAAGAAAAGATCAGATGAGGCATTCTGCTCTTCCTGCTGAAGTCATGCCTTCTGTCTGCTATATTAATTGAAAATATGTGATTTGGATTCAGATCCAATGAGTGAGGCCATGATAATGAGTCTTACAGACACTCTGGGGTGCACTGAAGCACTGACCCACGACAGTAACAGATAGATGTATTAAAATCCTTTATGCACTTTCTATTCAAGCCCAGGCCAGCTGCTATCAGGTCTTTCATTGCCATGTCTTGCCAGGCTGTACATGTTTGACCTCTCCTGAGTTTGAGTCTGCTGTACTCCCAGTCATTAATTTGACAGGCTAAGAACATGTCCAAGCCATTTACTCTCTTGCTTTCTGATAGTATAATAGGTGCCCTGCTGTTATATTCTTGAGCCAAACTTAACTTCCAGGAAGAATTTTACCAAGTTCAAAAACTGTACTATTTCTTCAAACAGTCAAGAAACACAATGAACATTTTTCTGCTACAGTCACTGTTACATCAATTCCCACTATTTAGAGACTTACCGAACTGATACTATCTCGCTACATTACAGACTCAATTGCTGCCTAAAACTTACAGAGAGGATTCTTAATTAAGACTTCTATTTAACAAGGGCTTAGTTTGAATTGACTGTGTAGGTCATCAAGCAGACAAGCAGAAGAAAGAGATTCTGCTTCTCAGCTGCGCTATTATTGTCTTGCTGTACGATGGTCTTGGGCAAAATATGTATCTGAACATATATTAGCTTTTCCACATGTAAAATGGCAATGGTAATTCTTTAAAAAGTGTCTTAAGTAAAGCACGTGAAACCAAGCCTCTCAGAATTACACACTGCTGAAATTATGGCCCAAAATACTAATTTTTATTGGACCTGGACACTGACCAGCACACAGACAGCTATCCCAAAAGACTCCCTACAGTCAATGCAAACAGAAACTCCTCCTGGGGTGACTTGGTCACTTGGCGCAGCTCACCTGCTCTTACAGGCGAGCAACAACCTGGCCTAAGTGAGCTGTGTTCTTGGGACTGGCTGTATAAAAAGCCTATGGAGATTACATTCCCCAAGCCAAAGCAGACCTTTGTGAATAGCTCCTTGTTATTCATAATGCTTCCTGTTTCTTTTCTCATGTACCAGATGCATATTTTTCCCTTTGAAAGCAGATCTAAAGTTGAGATGGCTCAGGTGATGACAGCAGTAGTAGCAGCCATAGCAAATTTCTGATCAGCTTGCCTCACGGCAAGGGGAGGGAGGGAGAGGATGCGTTAGTTGTGGCTTACATGGAAACAGTGAATCTCTCTGACAACAACCACTATAGTTGTACAGCTGCAAACCAACAGACTGCTTACCTTATGCTTTAAACTGTTCTCTTTCCTACCTGTCACCTGCACCCTCTGCCCAGGTTACACTGATGTGTACGGCGCTATGGGGTCATGGTCTCCTACAGAACTATTTTGGCGACATGAATTAAGTCTTACCTTGGGAATAGGTGTGGCAATGGCTCGGGCACCGACATCTAGGGAAAAGGGAAAAAAAAAAAAAAAAAAAAAGGCGTTGTTAAAAGGAAAAGCTAAAGCAGAAAACCGAATCCGTCCTTGCCCCAAAGTCTGCTGTCGGCACCCGTTCACCGCGCCCTACCCCACGGAGGCCTGGCAGCGGAGCCAGGGTGCGGAGGAGGCCCGGCCCACCCCCGGGGCCCAGGGGAGCGGCAGGCCGGCAGCCGGGGGGGTCCCACCTACGGCAGAACACGGGTGGGTGCCGGTAGCCAGCCCTCAGCCGGCCGCCCCTGCGAGGCGGGGGCGGTGAGTGGGTCAGCGCTAGAGAGGGGGCATTAGGACACCCCCGGGAGGGAGCGGTCGCTGCTTTTCACGTTCAAAACGCGGCGGCGACCGCCCGGCCTCGCCCCCCCGCCCCGCTGCCGGCACCTGCCGATGAAAGGAGGAAAACCAGCGGCCTCACGGGCGGCCCTGCCGGGCTCCGGGACGGCCGCGGGCGAGGAGGCCGGCCCCCGCCGCCG